TCTTATTTTTAAGCTTGATACTTCAATTAGGTTTTGATCAAGGTTATCATCTATTACTAATAAAGAATCTTTATGGGGGTACGTTTGAGTGAGCATCAAATTTTTTTTCTAAAATTTGTAATGTTTTTATTGCATACCTTCATTTACTCTAAAATTGATTAAGATTTTATAAAACTACTCAATTATTTGCCGGTCCCCCACAGTTGGTAATGACCCACAAGAGAAAGTCAACAAGAACAAGAAAAAACAACCTACCTCGTCACTCCAAAATTTCTTCTTCCGTAGGGAAATACAATTGTTTTCATCGCTTTGAAATTTAGGTGCACGTTAAGGAATCGTAGGTGGTCTAAACTTTTAGTGCCCTCCACTACGTCGCCTCTCTTAATCATATCGTGGTTCTGGGACGTCAAACCCCAACAATTATTATTAATCTTCGCGCTTTCACGGGCTTCTCATCAGTTTGCTGGCAATTTCCAAGAGAACTGCAGCCTTGCGATATCACCGAAAATTCAGGGGAATGTTTGTGCGATTGTAAGTTTCAGAGACTTTATTATAACAATATTGTGGATAAAGAAGCATGTCAAAGTTGGAGCTCCATGACATTACTACGTCGTTTAATGCCACGCTTAGTGGGGAGAAGGGCTGACGGCCACGACTGAGAAAATGTGAAGAAAAAAAATGGCCCCGTATCTGCATGTTCGACTGCAAGTGTCGTCAAAAGTATTCCGTCTTGTGGGAGTGAGTAGCATAAAACATTTATTTGATGTTTGGCGCGAGAAAATTGGTAAACAGTATTCTGGAGTTGCTGCGTGAGACATGAGTGCCATTTGGATGTAATGCCTGAAAATGAAAAGATTACCCCCGTTATAGCGAGCATGCACAATCTTGGAGGCCGTATTTTGTAGATTACAAGATAGGTGGCAGCACCGTATCATTTTATCAAAGCGTGGGAAACTCGCCTTCCGTGCATAGCGTCGCATTGTCAGCGCAGCGCAATAAACGCTACAGTTCATAGAATTACTTATCTATGTCTTTCTAGTATCAAGAAACACACCGCAGAATATTGACGTGTTGATATTGTGCCTTAGATGTGCGCAATATTTGTTTTTATTTGGCAATCACCCAAGTATGAACGCCAAAACCTGACCAATATTGGTGGGCGCTGTGGATGTGGTCGCCGTATTTGAGCCGTTTCATTTGACAGACAGAAAGACAGAGAGACAGACCGAAATTTTCGCGTAGAAGTATCTCAAAAAGACTATCGTCTTTTTTTTTTAAGATACCCTCATCTCCCCGAAGAGAATCGTGAGGAAATGCGAACGCAGTTATTGCACCGAGAGAGGGTACCGTTGCCGTCAGGCATTCGCCTTCGCCGACGTCTGTAATCACCTTGAGAGTCGCCCAGCCAGCGAACCGTCGAGAGTGAGGAGCGTGCAGACGGGAGAGTGGGGCGCCAGCGTTCTCGGCTCGGCGTTGGCGTTTCACAGCAGTGTCTTCAGCACACATCTCCGGATGTTCTTGAGAGGTGCCCTGCCAGCGAATGGTCGAGAGTGAGGCGTGAGTGAACGAGAGAGTGTGGCGCAGGGAGGATAGAAAGCGAACGTTGAAAGAAGGAGCGGCGAGACACGGCCCCTACCCTCTCCTACACTCTCTCGCACCACATGCTCCGGTTGCTAGGCGCGTGGATAAGCGCGCGCACCTGCAGCTGTTGCTATGGGAGAGGGTGTGAGAGTGGAGAGAGAACACTTGCCAGCACGCGGAAACCACCACGGACAACGCCAGATGCCTAGAAATAGCCCGACCGAGAAATGCATTCGCATTAAAAAAACTGAAATATGACACGTGTTTAAGTTTAAAGTATGACGGAAGCCCGTCTGGTCGGGATGATACATGGTTGAAGGTAAAAAACCTGGAGGCACTGCGCCGACGAAGTAAAAGTTTGTAAAGAAAAAAAAGCACTGAGAAAAGACGTTTCGGCTCCCACACGAAAGCCTTGTTCACACTGAAATTAAAACATGTGTAAAGCAGTTCGCCTTATGTATGTTTCAATACATCACGCAGGCAGCGCGCTTATACTGACGGCAGATTACCACCGCTCCTGTTTAAAGTGCGCGGAGTGGTTTGTATCACAAGTGACTCAAGATAAAGACGACGTGACAGTCCTTTTTCTCTAGCGAGAACACGTGCATTCCCCCAATCGATTGTGTGACCACCGGACGCATGCTCAGCCAAGGTACTGGATTTAACATTTCTTTTCTTAACGTCTTAAATGTGCTGTTTGAGGCGCCCTTCGAAGTCACCACTTTCACCGACATACACATCTTCACAATCCGCGCAAGGGACAGCGTGCGCCACTCCAGGGAACTTCACTTTGGGTAATCTGTCTTTCACATTTGCAAGTGATTGTCGTAGCTTTCGGTCCGGAACATGTGCCACATGGACGCCGTAGGAAAGCAGAATATCGCCTAGGGCTTCGCTTATGGAGGGAATATACGGTATTCCCACACGATTTTACCAGATACAGCACAGGGCCACTATGGACGTGCAATTTGTCGTGCGATAGCGTTCAAGAAGGAATTCGGATAGCCACAGGCCGACAATTCACGCCGCACCAAGCGTACGTCGGCTGCGTAGTCTTACTGTGCGGGTTTTCTGCACGCATCGTAGAAGTGTAGAAACCACGGCTCTTTTAGCATTTCCGATGGAGGCGGAAATGCTTAGGCCCGTGTGCTCAGATTTGGGTGCACGTTAAAGAACCCCAGGTGGTTGAAATTTCCGCAGCCCTCTACTACGGCGTCTCTCATAATCATATGGTGTTTGCGGGAAGTTAAACCCCACAAATAAATCAATCCCTCAATCGAACCACGGCCCTTTCGTAGGAAACGCGCTGCATGCTATCAAAATGCAAGTAACGACCTGTGTGGGTTGTCTTCCTGAACACGCCAAACGAAACATGGGCCCTTTCCTTTCAATGAGCATACCAAGGAATGGGAGCTTTCCTTCGACTTCCATCTCCACCGAGAATTGAATTGCTGCTTCCATGCTGTTCGGGTGTGAAATGAACGGCTGAACCGCCTCTTGGTGAATGATGCGAAAAATATCGTCCACATAGCGAAAAAACGCCTTCGAAGCTGAGGTAATTGAGGAGAGGGCTTGAATTTCAATCGCTTTTATAGTCAAATTAGCAGCGGTCACTGATATAGAAGCACCCATAGCCGTACCGTGCATCTGCTTGTACAACTTGTTCCCGAAAGTGAAATACGTATTCGACAAACAAAACCGTAAAAGCCGAACTAAGTCCGGTATGTCCACTGGCGATCTTCCCGCTAGATTTTAATCCAACTCCAGAGCTGTCCTGCACACATCCACAGCCAGTTCTGCGGGCACACTGTTAAAAATTGATTTCACGTCAAAGGAGACTAAAATATCATCTTCATCGTGTTTTGGCCTTCTTGCTAGAGCTGAAAGGTTATCGCGGTACAAAATCTGACCGCGATGAGCTGCGCCGGGAGTAGCTCAACTGCTTTGTCCTGTGAACCCCAGTCTTCTCTCCTACTTTAAACATGTCCTCCGGCAAGCGACGAAGCCTCATGCGGCAACAACTGGTACCAGTGGTTGGCTCATAATGGTTCAGCTTAAGCCGCAAATTATAGAAACTTCAATTATTATTATCTGTATTTGAAACCCAGTCGCAGTGCTTGCCCGCGAACTATCGGATGCTATCGGCATTCTTAGGTAACATTTCAACAGCCGCTTTGTGGTGCCATTTCCTGGAATATGTCTTGGCATTTTATGACAAAGCAGCGAATAAATTGTCCCGTGATTGAGAATGTAGAGTTCTATGAGACTGTAAGACAGACGGACGGACGAATGAGTAGACGAACGGACGTCCGTCCATCATAGATAGATAGATAGATAGATAGATAGATAGATAGATAGATAGATAGATAGATAGATAGATAGATAGATAGATAGATAGATAGATAGATAGATAGATAGATAGATAGATAGATAGATAGATAGATAGATAGATAGATAGATAGATAGATAGATAGATAGATAGATAGATAGATAGATAGATAGATAGATAGATAGATAGATAGATAGATAGATAGATAGATAGATAGATAGATAGATAGATAGATAGATAGATAGATAGATAGATAGATAGATAGATAGATAGATAGCGTAATGTTCACGAAGAAATGCTTCGGATATAATAAGAGAAACATGAGTAACGCTAAAGCCACACAAAAACCTCGACAGCTGTTTGTTGTAAAACATTGCCTTACAGTAAACCATAACCTGCTATTTACCTGAATCTGCTATTTAACTATTTAAACTGAACAATCCAGTACGTTGAGTTTTGCTCCACTCTATGTGCCTAAGTGCCCTGAAACATCAATTTGGCTCTGAGGCTGTGAGATAAGCTTGTGACTTCTCAACTTCCCCTTTTTTTTCTTTCTCTCTTTTTGGAGGATCAGCTGAAGTTTGGAAACGCCAGCAAGTGGGAGAGTCACCTGCTTCGAACGAACGACCTAATCAATCATCTTTCCTTCTGTATCGATCCAGTTGAAATCGTAGATGGTGAAATGTCGTACCAAGCTGAATGATGAGATCGAGGCGTCTGATCATCCTGTGTTCGCTTTCACAGCTTTACCCCGGTCGTAAGGTTTAAAGATTTGTTTGCGAAAGAGCTTGCTGAAAAAATGTCAATATATCCTGCATTCGTTTTCACTTGTACTTAATTTTTTTTTACTTTTCTGTCCTGCCGTTATAACAATCGTAACTCAAGCCAGAAGCATTCAAAAAAAATATAACTAATGCGTTTACGTGTAGGATTTATGGATAAAGGGTACCTAGACCGTGGTACGCTGCGTTGAAATCATTATTTTACTTATTGATTTAGGTTGACGCGCATGCAACCTTGTGGGCGTATTTCTAAGCTGATGGATGAGGCAACGCCATTTTAATCCCGTGGTCTTTCTCTCTGTTTGCAGAATCTCAAGAATCAAATTATGACAACCAACCTCTGGGTGGAGCAAGTAAGTGCGCTTGTGCTCGCTTGTTTTTTATGTCATTTTACTCCTAAAGTTGAGGAGCTTACAATAATAATCCTAGCGGTAAACCCGATTTGAAGCTCAATTACGCGCATTCATACGATACTATGAAATAATATTTTGATAGGTGCAATCTTAGAGTGTAACATTTCCAGTAAAGTACGAGCTATAGCAAGCGCAAAAGTTTTCCATGTGTTTTCCTTCGTGTAGCAGGCACTTTTAGAGGATTCTAATAAGGAAATTTGTTTCTTTCGCATTAGTAGAATACTAAAAAATTTACTAAAATAAAGTATCGAAATCCCCATGCTTGTCGCGATAACTAAGGCACTTTACAGGTGATAAAACTAAGGAGGTATTTAAAAAGTTGCAATTTTTCGTAAAGCTCCTTGGACAAAACGAACAAAAAAGAAATTACAGATGCCGATGTCACACAAAAGTTACCACAATATTCGCAATGAAGTCATGGATATCGACAGTGTCTAATACAGCCTATCTACTTTTCAATTGCTAAAATTTAAACACGTTGTTCTTTGAAAGGCCCAGGGAGATTGGACATGCAGAGCTTCAAGAATTTACGTTAAACCAATCTAGTCAAAATATGAAATACACTTTACAATCCGTGACATAACTTGCGGAGGTTTTGGCGCAAGGAGGTGGAGGAGGAGGATTGAAAGAGGAAGTACAGGGAGGTTAGCCATTTCTCAGACCGACCGGCTACCTTGTACTGGGAGAGGGGGTAAGAGGGATAAAAGATGAGAGAAAGGAGACGTTGAAAAAGAAAGGGAGAAGGTCATCAGACGATCCACGATGCTGCTTACAGTCTGTCTCGAATACCACGTGCCCACAGAAAGCACAACAACGCTCACAATGCCTTGCGTGCAGAGGACGGTCTCGGCCAGTGTCCTAGTACCCTTTCTTCCGACAATTGGCGATTGTCAAGTCTATCTAATACTTTCGATAGTTCTTTTCTTGGCGCACTCAAGCGAGGACACTCGCAGAGAAGATGGGAGAAAGTCTCTGCGCAGCCACAGTTGTCACATGTCGGGCTGCTGGTCATTCTGATTCGAAACGAATAAGCATTCGTAAAGGCTATCCCAATCCACAGACGGCACAAAAGTGTCTCCTCAGCTCTGGTTATTTCTGATGGAAGACGGAGCTGTAGGTGTGGGTCCAAATTATGAAGGCGGGCGTTGGTGAATGCCGGTGAATTCCATTGAGCGAGTGTCAGTTCTCGTACAAGTGATTGAAGCCTTGCAGCGGCGTTCATTCTTGATAATAGTATAGCTGCACAAGGGGCATCATCATGAGAAGATCAGCCTGCTTCATCTGCACGGTCGTTTCCATCAATGCTGCAGTGGCCTGGTATCCATTGATACACTATGTCATATTGTTTCTCTATAGCTCGGTGATTAAGCAGTCGTATTTCAGCAATTACTTGTTCGTTTGGTCCATGACGATATGGCGAGGCAATGCCCTGGAGGGCTATTTTGAAGTCGAAGAAGATTGACCATGCCTGCAGCGGTTCTTCAACTAGGAACTCCAGAGCGGCACGAATGGTCACTGCTCACTTCTCCGCCTCGTTCATCCCCCGAACTGCCCAAGACTGGAACGGCCTTCCTGCTGACATTGCCGCCATCACCTGCTCATCATTGTTTCAGCAGCATATAACTAATCAAAATGAAATGTGTATGTGAGAAGTTGTAACCCACCCCTTATGTAATGCTTCCTTCGGGAAGCCCTTAAGGTTAATAAACTGAACCGAACTGAATGGCGGCGAGTTCTGCCGCCGTGGATGATGTCAGATGCGAGGTCCTGACTTTATCGTGATGGATTTCTCCGGAATTACCACTGCGCCTGTTGAACTTGTTGAAGTGACTGACCCATCCTTGTAAATGTGAATGCGTCCACTGTGTTTCGTATGCAGAAACAGTAATGTTGTTTGTTTTAGGGCCAAATTTGACAAATTTTTCTTCTTTTGCATTCCGGGGATGGTTACAGGGCTTCCAGTGGATGTAGATACCACAATGGTAACGACGGTCTTTCTGCGTGCGTGAAGCTCGTGGGAACCACCTTGTGATGTGGGGCAGTAATAGAGCAGAACGCAGAGCGTGGCCTGGAAGTTGGAAGGGAGGCGAGGTGATGCAATTGAATCCGAGTGGCATGTCTTATGTGCGTTCTTAAAGCATCGACACGAATTTAGGTTGTGATAGGGTGTTCATGAGCGATTGCGACAATCGCTGCTGAGGATGCGCATCTCGGAAGCCCGAGGCATATTCTCAGTGCTTGAGCTTGTAATGACTGGAGGACGCGTACGTTTGTTATGCGGGCCTTGCCAAGCACAGGTTGGCTGTAGCGCATGAAGCCAAGAAAACGTGCAGCATACAGATGAAGCATGGCTCGTACCGATGCACACCATGACGTTCCCGCAAGAAACCTTAGGACATGCGTGATCATGGTCAGTTCTTCTTCGTGTGAGTGATATAAGGGCTCTAAGACAAGTCACGATCTATTATTACTCCCAAGGAAACGGTGGGTCTTTTGGTAGCTGATCGTGTGTCCATTAATTCTGATGCGGTATGGCGCCATTGTCTTGCGCGTAAACGCAACTAGTGAGCATTTCTCGGTTGGCAGTTCCAGTCCTCATCCTTGAAGGTAGTTTGACATCAGTGTAGCTGCCGTCTGAAGCCTGGCTCGTACGTGTACGCGTGACACCTGATGCCCAGATGCAGATGTCGTCCGCGTATATCGACAGATGTACGGAGTGGTGTGGCAGGACGTCAACGAGGCCGATGAGCGCAAGGTTGAAAAAGTATGGGGCTTAGGACCCCACCTTAATATACGCCCCAATAAGTATGATGGTGCCTTGTTGCACCATCTTCTGTCTGAACGAAGAAGGTTCTGTCCTTCAAATAGCTGTAGATCCATTGGTAAACGCGGCCTCCCAATCCAATGCTGCCCAAGGCGTCCAGGATGGTTTCATGTAGTACATTGTCATATGCAGCCTTAATATCCAAGAAAAGTGCCGCTGATAATCTCTTTAGGCTTTTCTGCTGTTGTACGGACGTGAAAAGGTCAACAACATTGTCTATGGAAGACCGTCCGCGTCGAAAGCTGGTCAAAGCATCGGGATATATATTGTTATGTTCCAGGTACCACTTCAGGCGAGTCAGCACCATTCTCTCCATCATCTTTCCAAAACAGCTGGCAAGCACGATGGGGCGATAGGAGGCCATGTCCAGAGGCAATTTGCTTGGTTTGAGCAGGGGCACAAGGCGGCTGCACTTCCACGAAGGAGGACCCAAACCGTTGCTCCACGAGTCATTGTACACAGCTAGAAGGGCACGCCGAGCTGTTTGTCCTAGGTTAGCAAGGGCCATATAAGTGACTCCATCAGGTCCAGGGAGATGACGAGCGCTTACATGCTGCCAATGCTGCCTGAAGCTCCTCTAGAGAAAACATATTGTCCATCCGAGTGTCTCTGGACACCGGCGCGTTTCGTAGGTTACTCATGTTGATCCCGGACCCCTTGTTTGCAACCCTGGCACAGAAGTCTTCTGCTACATCGATTTCACTTCGGCTTTGAACGGGCGATGGTGTTGTGGCAATTTTCGTAGACCGCGGATTATTCTCCATATTTGCGAAAGAGGTTTGTGGGGATCGAGCGACTCGCATAGTGACCTCCATTGTGGCGACTGTAGTGCATTGATTCGACGTTGAATCTTCTTTTGTGGACGTCTCACTTCCCTCAAGTCGTAGATGGATTTCGTGCGCCTATAACGTCGTTCGGCGCGACGACGGATTGCTCAAAGTCGCTCCAACTCCACCTCATATTTGCAAAAATCTGGCAAAGGTCCACAAATAAACGTTGCTTCTTGAATAGCGGCCTTCAATATACCTTCTAGGCTTTCAAGAGAACTTTCTTGGTTTCTCTCGCATTTCTCTTCTCTGTGGATGATCTGTACTTTGACCAGTCTATCCCTGAAGCCGACGCAATCTACGACTTGCTTAGCCCCTTGACCTTTATAAGGGTGGAGATGTGGTCACAGCCATGCGTTTACATTGTCCGCAAACCACTGCACCTTGGTACTTAGGCTACTGACACAAAAGTTAGGTTGAGACAGCTACTATATGTCAGACCCCGTAAAAACGTGGGAGTGCCGTCATTTAAACAATATAGTTGGTGGTCAGATGCAAAGGAGGACACATTTCTTCCCCGACGGTCCATCTTCTGTCTTCCCCACAGCGGGTGATGAGCGGTAATATCACCGGTAATAATCCATGGCCCAGGTGTCGCTGATATAATGGCACTTAATCTTGCTGGGTCGAAGCGGCCTGAAGGCTAAATATATACTGCCACTAGCGTAAAGTTCACGTTCTTACGCTTAATTGTCAGGCACACCTATTGGTTGCTGTCGTCCGGTGCTACTGAATGCTCAATATATGTGAGTTCGCACCTGATATAACCAGACCTTACTGTTTTCGTTACGGGTTGCAGATCTGAAAGTCTCGCATTTAGAAATTTGTATAGCATTGTGAAGACGTCGTTCACAAATTACGATAATTGGAAACTGATTCTTGAAAACATATGGTCGAAAATCCGAAATGCGGCGTTTAAGGCCGCGGGCATTCTATTGGAAAATTGATGCATCTTTCATTTGTTTACGAAGGGCTGCAGAGAAAGAGCCATGGTGCTTCTCTAGATTTGATAGCATTGTATTCAAAGCAACCAATATTTGAAGAGCAAGCAACCAATATTTGAATAATATTCAGACTCCGGCTGTGGGCAGCCGGAGTCTGAACATTATTCAGGAGTACTCGAATCGTCTTCATGAGGGTCTTCATCACGTCTATTATTTCGTTATCTTGACTGTCACGACTTACTCGCTCTGAAGTAGCTTTCAGGGGCTCTACTGGCGGTGTCACTGATGGCAGCGCTGGCAACGCGTCAGGGTCAATGTTTCTTGCGTCTTTCTGAGGATGCTTGT